TTATGCGTTTATCAGTCTAATCAGATGAGCAAACCAGAGAGAAAAGCAGAACAGATCAGTGTTTTGAGTTTTAGATTTTCGTTACTTCTATTTCATTGAAATCCAAACTGGACAAACCCAAGAATTATACAGATAACCAAAGGAAAACTAGGAAAAGATATATGCATTTTCCTCTGTTTGTTGTTTACTTGGTGATTTGATTTTCGAGAACTAGAAATTTCTTCCTCGCGATTTTTCGTAAAGATCTGAAGCAAATCTCACTCGTTGTCAAGCGCTGGTGAGTTGCAGAAAAGCTTAGATCCCTCCACGGATCATCATAGTCCATCTCTCAAATCATTTGCGCCGTTTGGATTATTTGGTTATATGTACGAATCACAGCAGAGGTTCCGATTCTGATTCCGATTTAGGCGCTCTCTGATTCCGATTTAGCCCTAACTATCAATCATCATATAGTTCACAAACTCCGATCGTTTTAGTTTCGACTTCAATCACTTGGTGAATCAACTCGTTACCAGCACTGATCCGTCTCCCAATTACGACGAGTGTATCCAGTGAAACCGGAAGCCATCCGCACAGAAGCCACAGGACGATAACGGCGGAGATGCTTCCGATCGTAATCGGCGCGTTTCTCAGGATCAGACAGAGTGGAATAAGCGGCATGGATCTTCATGAAATCGGTGGCTGATGAGTCTTTCCGGTCGATGGCCACTACATCCGGGTGACAAACTCTGGCAAGACGTCGGTATGCCGATTTGATCTCCTGAAAAGAAGCTCCAGTAGGGATCCCAAGGACCTCGTAGAGAGAAGTACAGGAGGCCATTCTTTGAAGGTTGAGATACGGCGAGGCGGTGTCCTCTCTAGAGGCGTAGGCCGTGGAAGAAGCGGTGGCAGTGGAAGAGAAGGCCTGTGGTGGTCGGAATCTGACACGTGTAAACTCCCGGGGAGAGGATCTGGCCGGTAGAGGCGGAAGAGTAAGAGGAGAAGCAGCGGAGAGCATTTTCAATTTGGAGGTGAAATTGGATGGGGGAAGAATGAGTGCCAGAATGGGCATTACGCATTATATAAAAAATGGGTGGAGGAACGAGTGGGACCAAGGTTGGGTCAGAAATTTAACCATGGTTAAATTCGTCATTTCCTAGGTTAAATGAAAACCATTTGGCGTTTGAGAGTGGGCCCAGCCTGCCGGATAGTGACTCAGCAATTGGCTTATCCAATTTTATTGCTTTCCTGTTCCAGCTGCAGCCTGTTAAAAGGGAAAAAAAATAAAATAAAATAAAATAAAATAGAAGGTTCTGAAGGAGTGGATATGAACGATGACGTGTCGAACATCAGAAGCCAACGCATGAACAATTAAGATCCATTAAGATTTCTAATGTCAGGATTAAGTTGATATTAACGTTGGAATCAAATAAATAAATCGTAATTATCATTAATATAAATTATTTTTTCTTCCTTATTTATTTAGAAAAAAAAAATTAATTAGGTTTTCTTGTTCTTATTTATTTCCATACTTTTCTAAGTATTGGTACTTTTAAATATTTAAAATTATATTTTATTATAAAGCAATTGAAGTGTAGTTTATTTGTTGGGGATGTCTAAATGCAATGGCTTTCTTTAGAGCATTTGCTTTCCAGTTGGCCTTCCCTTCTGGAACGGGCCATTGAGTATCTAAAAAAAATAATTAGAACGGATCAAAATAAATTTTCAAAATTTAAGCAAGGATGGTTAGATAACTAACATTAAATAATTTGAAAAAGAAATGATCCAAACATGCTCGGGTCTTTTTAGAAAAGTGTAACGTAATATGCAATTTTAACTTTAGCTCAATTTTAATGTAAAGGGAAGCAATTTCAACGCCTATTTAATCTTCCACATGGTGTATTAATTCAAATCGGATCTTATTAGTTTGAAACTTTAAATTTTGTTCTTTCCTTAATTGATGTTAATAAATAATATTAATAAATATAAATTATTTTAGAACTTTAAATTCAACTCATATCAATCCTAAAAACTAGTAGGTTTAGTTTAATTATTTTTATTTTCAATCAAAATTTGTTAGGTTGGTGAATTGAATTATTTTATTTTTTATATTTATTTGAATTTGTATTAAACCAAAGTTAGTTCGTGATAGATTTTATTCCAATTCTAATTTTTTTATTGAAATGTTTTTAATAAATATTCTATATAAAATTTAAAATAAGTTTATATTTTTTGTAAAATTGTTACTTACATTAAAATCGTTCTAAAAAAAGAAAAAAAGAAAAATGAAAATTTGGATTTTTATTTTCAATTTCCGGAGGATAATAAAAGTGGGTGTCCGGCTGTCAACTCACGCCACTCTGTTCCGTCCCATATCCTCCATTTTTTTTCCTTTTTAAATTATTTATTTATTTTAAGAAAAAAAACATTTTTATAATAATCAAATAAATAACTCAATCTCTATACTCTTAAATATTATAATTTTATAATACTGTTTGGTGAAATTTTATAGCTAAAAAAAAAAAAAAAAAAAAACTCAAAATAGATGGCAAATTAAACTAAATAAACAAATTTAGTTACCTATGGTAAACCAAAAATAGTTAGAATAAATTTTCTTTTATAACAATAAAAGAGTTGTCATTTATTTTAAGTATTAATAAAATTAGTCAGTTCAATTATTTTTTAATATTTATCGGCAATAGTCTTTGACTATTATATATGATATCAGAGTTAGACGTTGAGCAATGTGTCCACCTAAATATTTTTCGTTATAATTTTTCTATAAAGAATTGATTTTTTTTTTTTTTTGTATTTTAATTTTTTATTGATAAGTATCGCTATCGTCACAAGCTAGCATCTACTATAGTAGTATTAAAAGAATAATAATGGTAAGTTGCTTCAATTAATTAATTAATTAATAATTAAAACTTAAAGTTAAAGGGGAAAAGCTTAGTTGACATAAAAAAAAACCCTAATTTCTTGGACTGATTCATATATTGATTGGATTGGGTGCCAAATCACCTCGTTAGTGCATTTTAACGTTCTTAGTTTTTTATATTAAAAAATATTGGGACCCACCTTGTTTCCATTAGAAAAATCGCTAAAAACTTTCTAAATTTCAATTTATTTAAATATTAAGTGAGGGAGTTTTTGTAATAATTATTTTGACTTTAATTTAAGAAACTTAGGCTTTTGAAACTACTTGATGTGTATATATATATAATAATAATAATAATATTGTAATTTGTGGATTAAAAAATGCTTCTAGAATAACCCCAAACACGTGATGAAGAAAAGCAGCTGCCTTCATTTCATTAATAAATAAAATATTATTAAGTAGAAATGTAAAAATAAATAAAATAATTTTAATAAACAAGTTAAAAACAAAAGGTTTGGTTTATGCTAAACCAGCAATAATTAGGCTTATTCCAAGTAAAAGATGAAGATAAGAACGAACAATAAATAGATAAACATTAAACAATTCAAATTATATATAATAAATAAATAAATTTAAAAGGTAATAGAGATTTATTAAATTATTTAATAAAATTAAAATAAATTAGATTAAAAAATATTATATTTGTTAACCAAGTGAGCTAGATGTTGAGTTAATTAAGTTAATCCTTGGTGATCATTTTTTTTTTAAAGAAAAATTTGTTGTTAAAGGCTTAAAAAGCAAGACAAAGGTCTTACCTTTATAAATTTAATGACGATTATTTATAATATTATTTTATTGAAGTTTAATTGGGGCAAAACACATTTTTTTTAAGTGGAAAAAATCTATTTCCATTATCTAAGGATCTTTTAAAGTCATTTTAAAATAAATAGGAAAAAGAAATAATTGTAGGCCCAATATGTTATGTCTGGCCCACATGGTGTTTAGGTTTTTCTCCAAAGTCCAAACCCACTGTCTTTCTTTTTTGTGTCTAGTAAAGTAGAGTTCCATTTTTAACCCTTCTAGAATGTTGGATCCGACCCGGCAAAATACTTGCTCCACTATGTATATTATTAATAATTAAAAGTGGAAGACTTTGCATGTTTTTTTTTTTCTATAAAAAAGTGAAAGACTCCACAGACCATTGTTTTTTTTTTTTTTTTTTTTTTTTTTTTTTTTTTTTTTTTTTTTTTTTTTTTTTTTTTTTTTTTTTAATGATTCTCTAATATTTTTAATTATTCAAAATCAAATTAATATCTGATTTTACCTTTTAAATGTGTTTTTCATGTTATTAAAAACATTTCTACCGTGATTTAAACGGACACAGTAATTTTAATAATTTTAAAATTAATTAATGGTATACTTCCCTTTATCAAAATTCAATAATACCTTTAAACTAAAAAAATATTCAAATATATATTTATATTTACTCTAAGTGAAAATATTATTTAACTTTAAAGAGGGTTTTAAAAATACTTTTGAATTTAGAGTGTTACGTAAATATATGAATGAAACTATTAGTACCATGTTTAAAAAAATACTTGTGAACTTAAAAAAAAAATAACATTAATATTTTCTAAATAAAATTAAAAATGTTATATAGTTTGGTTAAAATTAAAGAGATAGATGATCTATGAAGCATAAATAGACGGTTTTCATCCGTCTATGGGCGATAATAATTTTATAATGTTTTTTTATAAATGTTAAAATGTTAATGCTACTTTTAAAAGTTCATAAGCATTTTTTAAACGTGGTACCAACCGTAAAATTATTTCTTAACTTTCTTAACAAGTTAAAGGATATTAATGAAAGTTTTTAAATTTTAAGGGCATTTTTCATAATTTTTTTAACCTGTGGAAGGATATTAATTTTTTTTTTTTAAATTTAAGGGCATTTTTGATGGAAGGATATAATCAATTATTTTCATTCCAAAATAACGGTAAAAACAATATTTTTTATAATAGTTTTAAAAATTAAAAAGTATTATTAAAATATTTTAAAGAGTATTTTTGACATAATTTAGCTAATTATGACCTATATATTTTAAGATAAATTAGACTAGATTTGGAATTACCCATTATCGAAATTACAGTTGGGAGGGCAATGGGGCATTACTGGCGGGGGCGAAGGCCAATACGAAGGCCGGATTTCGGGCCCAATAATTGGTACAAACGGGCTTTCTCATGGTCCCAATCTCATCTGTCGAAAGCTCACGGCAAAGCGGGCAAAGCAACGATCTCAGGGGCAGCCACTGATCAATGCAACCTTTATGGAACGCATGGTTGCAGTTGGGCAGAACACGAAGCTCATCTCCAAGCTCGAACTCCCCCAAGCATATGACACAGTTCCTGACCTCAAAGGACGACGACGTAAAACAATAAGGCGCGGAGTCGCCATATATGTATACAGGCATGCTACTGAGCTGCCTGCTACATGTCGACGAGGGTGGCTTAGAGGACGCCGAGGTCAGCTGACGCCGAAAGCAAGTGAAGAGGGAGATGAACAAAGAGAGCACGAAGGCAGCCGCGATGGCGGAAACGACGCAGATGGTAACCAGTCTTTCATGGTGTCCAAATGGACGTTGGAGTAAGGAATCTTTAAGAAGGCGCCTGTAGGTGTAGCCGGGAGCTTGCGCTGAGTTCATGGCGAGGAGATTATTTTGTTAAGAAATGAAGCTCACCAAGGTATGCTGCAACTTTGTTGGAAGATCTTATGAGGAATAGATATTGGAAACAAGTAGGATATAGTTGGATTATGATTCAACCGATCTAGCTTTACACTTTTAACCAAAAAGTTTGAAAAAATTGAAGTGGGTTCTAGTTCATCTTGCCATTAAGGAAAAGAAATCATAATTTTATGTACACAATGGATGCCTAGCGACTCAGCATCCATCTAGAGATACTAAATTCAATACTGGGGAAAGTGGAAGACGAGGAATGGCCACATCTTCGTTTATGTGCCGCCTATTTTCGTACTTGAGACTTATGACGTCTCAACTCATGTGTCGGAGGTTGGATTATGAGCCTACTACCTGAAATGTATGTTATAAATGATTTAGCTTCATGTGAGAGAGTCCAATGCGCAAGAGAACTTAGATGAATGGATGTTTGGGATGTCTGGATGAGATGACTGACACATGATGTTAGTTCCCAACAAATGTGCTTGAACAAGTCAAGATGACTGAGTTGTTAGAGACATGGAATAACATAATGATTCATAAGTCTGTGTTGTTAAGAGTCATGATGATGATGAGATGCCATGTCGCACTTGAGAGACCGACACTTGGTAAGTTCCTAAATATATTATGAGGTATTCCAGCCATAAATAATTATCAGATATTTTTTAAGTTAAATATATTAGATAAATTTTGGAAGTTTAAAACTTATTTATAATATTTAAATTGTAAATTTATACTTTTACATATTCACAATAATTAAAAAAAAAAGAAAAAAAAAAGAAAAGAGAAGAAAAGAGGGTGTACAAGATTTGAATACTAACGGGAGCACTGAAAAAGTTCCCTTTTGTTATCATCCAGATTGGTTCGGGCGCGGGGCGTCCACGTGGTCGTGGCTCGTGGAGTTCACGATTTGGTGCTGGATTTTTCCCATTTTCCTTCCCTCTCAAATTCATTTTTCCGGCGCTGAATTTTCACCCGCAGATTGCCATCTCCTCTTCGTTTTCCAGATTTTCCCCTTCTCTTTCTTCTCTGTTGGAGGTGGATTCACAGGAACTGAACTCTGAGATTTACTCGTCCCTTTGCTCTGTTTAAAGACCCTTTCGAGGTCGTCATGGAGCACTGGAAAACGGGGGATTTCTCCTCTCAATCTATTGTAGCAGCTGATTTAGTTCCTTCCTCGTCTCTTCAGCCTCAGCCGCTCTCTTTGTCCTCGAGTCGCCACCATAACAACCAGCTTCCTGAATCCAGGTTTGTGATGTATTGTGGATTTTGATTAACACTAAGCTTGTATCCTGTTTCGAATCTGGAATAGAAGAATTTTCGATGGTTTTATTGGTTGAATTAAATTCTTGTTTTCATATATTATATTGTGAAACTTGATAGTCGATCCTCCTTGGGATAAGGTTGAGTGTTTTTATTGACCTAGTCTTGTTGAATCCAGTCCAGATGACACTCTCAGCGGTTTCTCATCTTTTAGGTCGTCTTGTTGTTAGGGGATATCGGTTTTTTATTTCGATACTTATCATATCTTTGAGTTGTATGTACTTCCGAGAACGATGCCTCACAATTCAGTTCGCACGTCTCAAAATATGAATTATGAGGAACCTTGGCTGGACATTCTAATTCGTCAAATTTATCATTAATAAGCACTGTTTAGTTACTAAGCCAGTTGTGTCACTATTTCCTTGTTTTGTTCTTTCACCTTTTTAAGAAATGCTTTTGAATTTAGCCAAAGTTTTCAGAAGTTGACATAGATTAGAAAGCAAAACAAAAAATAGTGTATATAAGTTCAAAAACAAAGAACAATGTTAGTCAATTGGAAAGATCTTAAGGAACAGATTATATGGATCCAATAACTTAACTGTTTCAAATTTTAACAAAGGGATGGTTTTGGAAGGCTTCATTTAAATGAAGAAAGGGATGCATGTGAGATCCCACATCTGTTGGAGTGGGGAACGAAGAATCCAACCCTAGTGGACGCGTTTTAAAACCTTGAGGAAAAACATGGAAGGGAAAGTCCAAAGAGGACAATATCCGCTAGTGATGGGTTTGAGCTGTTACAAATGGTATTAGAGCCAGAAATTGAACGGTGTGCCAATGAGAATGTTGAGCTCTCAAGGGGAGTGAATTGTGAGATCCCATTTGTTGGAGTGGGGAAAGAAGCATTTCTTATAAGGGTGTGGAAACTTCTTCCTAATGGACGCTTTTTAGAACCTTGAGGGGAAGCCCGGAAGTGAAATCTCAAAGAGGACAATATCTGCTAGCGGTGGGCTTGGGCTGTTACAATGCATTCGTGGTAAATGACATGGACTAATCGAACGAACATGAACTGAATGCATATTAGGGATTTGTTTGCTGAAGGACATGTTTCAGTCTTCATATTGTAGGATTTTGACACTCTTCTGAAGTCTCAGCCATGGTTTTCATCGCACTCACTTTTGTTCCTTTTTTTTTTTTTTTCGGTATTCCTCAGGTTAAGAACAGATGCAGAAGTAAAAGATCCAATGGCAGTGAAAAAAACCCAAAAGGCAGATCGTGAAAAATTGAGAAGAGACAGACTGAACGAACATTTTCATGAGCTTGGAAACATATTGGGTAAAGTTAAAGTATAGGAAGCCTATGACTTCTTTTTTCATCCTTTCTCATTGTTATACTAAAATATCGCCTGAAAATTACTCAAGAAATGGTTTTCTGTTTCCCCTGATAAATTGATAGCCTAGAAGGGCATGTCTTGATGTGTTTCTCCACACTCTTACTTAGGAATGAATGCATTGATTTTCAACATCCAAAGAGTTCTTGTTCTCGCTCAAATTTCCTGGGCTCAAGTTTCATTCAACTCAATTCGTATATTTCTTCTCTTGGCAACGCCATACTTTGTGGAAATTCTAATCGGCAGTACGACAATAACTAATACATGTGTGCACGTGCCCTTTTCTTATATCATCATATAAGGTCATAGGGCTCGCTTATACTTCCATCATGATGCTGTGGACTTCTCTGGCTGTGTTATTTTGTTTGAGTGGCTCATGTGGGATTTTTTGTGTCTGGCTTGAAGTGACATCGTTGCTATTCATTTTATTGCAGATCCAGTTAGGCCCAAAAATGACAAGGCCACCATCCTAACAGACACCATCCAAACGCTGAAGGAGTTGACTGCCGAAGTCAATAGATTAAAGGCCGACTATGAAGCTCTTTCTGAAGAATCACGTGAGGTTAGTATCTATTTCTTTTACAAATTTTCAATTTCATAAGGTTAGGTGCCCTTTAGGCTTGATATGCTCATCTCATCTGGTATTCCACAGCTAACCCAGGAAAAGAATGAACTTAGAGATGAGAAAGCTTCACTAAAATCAGAAATTGAAAATATAAATGCTCAGTATCAGCAAAGACTGAGGGTCATGTTTCCCTGGGCCACAATGGATCCTTCCGAGGTCATGGTGCCCCCATATTCCTACCCAGTTCCTGTTTCCGTTCCCCCAGGACCGATTCCCATGCACCCGTCATTGCAGCCCTTCACCTTCTTTGGAAATCAGAATCCTGGTGCTATTCCCAACCCCTGTTCCACATTTGTCCCATATACTGCTGCTGTCCATCCTCCAAATGGTCAGCCCTCTGCCCAATATGCTTCCAATTCACATATATCTAGCAAACAAGATTCCAGAAGTAGGTCATCAGATCAGCACAGGCGCAGTAATGCAGGTAGCTGCGACGAATCGAACGATGTAGCAACGGACCTTGAACTTAAGATGCCTGGATCTTCAACACAACAGGTGAGTTTATTGCTTTTAGAGCTCACACAAATATTTGTAGATCAAATAAGAACGCAATTGAGTATCTTTTTCAGGATGCCTCCTCTAGAAGTAAGAAAGGTAAGCAGTCTCAGAGGAAAGAAAAAAGTATTACAGATTGTAGTTCGTCGAGTCGGGTTTCTTCATCCAAAGTTCTTCAAGATAGCTCCTCTAACAGCATTGGCGACATCCCGAAACAGAACAACTGAATTCAAAGTTACTAACTTCATCAAAGTGATTAAATTCAAGGTCGTCTCTTCCTTCACCAACCAAATATTGAGTTCAGGAATTTAGATTCGGAAGCGCCTACATAAAAAATGTGAGCAATCATTCCTCATTCAGTGATTACTTTGCCTTGCCTAACAACCATCGTGAGGTGCAAGGTATTGTGGCTGCTTTCGACATCTAATTTAACGAGGCTTACCATAATTTGAGTTGATTGACAGCATTTGTCCAGTGCATTCCCTACATTTAGGGAGTAATTCAGTGGAATATCTGCATGTAAATACTTATCCTTATGTCTTGCTTCTCCATTTAGTTGGTTTTTGTAATGCTAAAATCCAAAATCCCCGAAAAATTTAACAAGCAAAGAATTTTATCAACACAAATCATCTATGTTTTTATTACTTACCGTTATTTGCGATCCGTTTAAAATGATTTTTTAAGTGCTTAAAAATATTTTTTGTTCATATGAACGAGGGAAGAAACAGGGTGTGCAGCTCATGCTTAGACAAGAAGCCTTATATTTTTGTTCTTTTTTATTATCATTATTTTAAAGAAATAAGAGATTGATTTATTTTTTATATTAGAATACTAAATTTTATAATTAATAATCTACATAATAAGTATAATTTATACAACTTAAAAAAAATCACAATATTCTATTTATTAAAGTTGTTAGACGAAAAGAGGTTGCACAAAACAAATGTCAACTTTGAATGAAGCCATTTTCTTTAATTTATATTGAAAAATCATTGTTTAGATTTTTGTTTGTTATCCATGAATGCGAACTTAATATTTTATATAATTTATGATGTCATACCCGTCACCCATGTAGTCGTTAAGAATTGAATAAATTTATAAATTTATTTGTCTATATGTTCAAATCATTCGAGAGATGAGCGATTGAACTAAACGAATGTTAATATGATGGGGCAACAAACGAAATATATTTTAAAATACAAACTTATATGGAATAAAGAGTTCGAGGATGAAAATCAAAAACCGTGAGAGGGGATTTAGTTACTAAAAAGAATCAACAATATATCATTGAAGTAGATAGATGTTCAACTTTAAGTATGAGAAGCCGAGTAAGTGAAGTAGTACATACATTTTTGTGGAAGGATGGATAAAACGAGCGTGCTAATACAATAGCAAAACACCCAGAGGTACACACAGACAATTCCTTTGCCAAAAAGATTGATTCCATCAAATTCTTCATTTAAAGAGTTTGTTTATAATCAGATATGCCATTTCCAATGCACAACCAAGAAACCCCAGCTACACAAAGGACTACCAACACATTCCACATCAACTGGAGCTGCTTGCTTTGAAGCAGAACCAAGATAACTCTATATCTATGTAAAACGTATTCACAGTCCTATAGAAAAAAAACTCGTGGTCGAATAGATGGTCAAACGAGCTGCTGGGGTGTCTGAGCAAGCAAAGGTTCTTAAAGATGATTGAAATTTGCCTTATTTTGATGTCCCTCTCTTTTCAATCTTCCCAACTTTGCGTTGTTATCTACAGTCTTGGGGGAAGCTTGGGGACTAGAGGGTCTAAAGATGAGGCCTTGAACTAATACTCGCAGTTCTTAAAAGTCTTCTGAATTCTGATAAGCTTATCTTACCATCTTTGTCAATATCCGCTTCCTCAAGCAGTGGATCAATGGAACCCTTTAGGCCCGTATGCTGCAGAAAAACAAGAAGATAATGTTTGAACATTTAAAAAACGAGACGAAATCACGAAAACGTCTGTATGAGAGAGGCAGAAGGAGCTCAGGAAGGGAACTATGTCGGATAGACAATAATGGCATAAGCTGGTGGACTTTCCATTCTGAGCTTCCCTTCAAAGTTTTAAAACGCATCTACTGAAGAGAGGTTTCCACACCTTTATAAAGAATGTTTTGTTCTCCTCTCCAACCGATGTGAGATCTCACAATCTATCATCTCTCTTTGGGGACCAGCGTCCTAGCTGGCACACCGCTCGGTGTCTGGCTCTGATACCATCTTTAATAGCCCAATCCCACCACTAGTAAATATTGTCCTTTTTGGACTGTCCATTCTAGACTCTCAAGGTTTTAAAACGAGTCTACTAGGGAAAGGATTCCACACCCTTATAAGGAATGACTTCATTCCCCCTCCTACCCCCCTTGGGGACCAACGTCCTTGCTGGTACCCCGCCCAGTGTTTGGCTCCGATACCATTTGTAATAGCCCAAGCCCACCTTATCTTATCACTACCGCTAGCAGATATGGTCCTCTTTGGACTTTCGCTCAAGGTTTTAAAACGCGTCTACTAGGGAGATGTTTCTACTCTCTTATAAGGAATGTTTCGTTCCCCTCTCTAACCGATGTAGGATCTCACATGACAGCTTTGCACCGGCTTAAGATTAGACACAAAATCAGAGGTACAGACTAGCTGTGAATGGTTCAAAGACCATCGCCACCTTCCCAACAGGAAGATAGACGGCCACCAATTCATTTTAAACGGAGTAGCTTAGGAAGGGAAGCTTAAGACTAGAATGTCCGCATCAAACCAGAAAAACTGCCAACCAAAAGTAAAAACATACCATTCTTAGTTCCTCTGGAGTTATAAATCCATCTTTATCTATGTCGAATTTCTCGAAAGCTGCCTGTGATCGCTGTTGCCACTTTACAGAGTCATGTTCCTCTAACTGATGCACGTGTAATGTAGCTGCGACAAATTCTGTGAAATCGACAAGGCCATCGGTATTGACATCGATCTGTATCAACCATATAAACTACTTGAGTTGCATTCTTTGCTTATAAGACGAGTCGGAAAAAAAACAACAAGCGAGCGGCACAACGGTAATCAAAAGCTAACAGTTTTCTCCTCCGTCTCTCACAGAATGGTGGTGCGAAAAGGAAAACGTATACTTACAGCTTGAAGAATTTCTAGAACGCGAGATTCTTTCAGTTTCCATGGAAGATCTTTAGCAAGGGCCTGCACATAGACAATCACCAATTACGTTAGAGAAAAAGAAAGAACTCGTGTTCGTGTAAATAAATTTACTATCTTACCTGTCTCATCTCCTCAAGGCTGATGGAACCGTTCTTATCGACATCGATTGCATCAAACTGATCTCGTAGATCAGCAAGCTCTTCTTCCCCAATTGTGCTAGCCAATGCCTGCAACATAAATAATCATCATCAGAAGGAGAAATGGATGCAAAGAGACAAACTAGTTTCCTGTTCTAAAAGATGCCACAAAGAAGCATTTCCTTACCCTTAGAGCAAATTGTTTCAAACGACTGTACTTCACAAATTGTCTCATGTTACTCAGAACGGATATATCGATCGGGATCTCTGATGCATCGCCGCCCTCTCTAACCCATTGATGAGCTAGAAAGCGAAAAGTATGAACGAATAATCAACCCAAATGATTAAATGTGTTATAAGGAAGAGGAGAGGAATAATTAATATGGGTTTAGCAAGGGACTTTGGGACCTACATAGGGCCTGAGCAGCAGTTAATCTCGCTAGAGGATCCTTTACAAGCAACTTCTTTATGAAATCTTTAGCACTAGGGCTGATGCTTGGCCATGGCTTTCGACGAAAATCAGGCTTGTTTCGCAACACCTATTGGCAAAGTACAAGCACAATGAGCTCATTTTTGATGGGTGCATCCAAATGTAAGGAACCAAACTATAAAATGGAACATACCTCCTTGAATATGCCATCCTCTGTCTTATCCCAGAAAGGGCGCCTCCCACAAAGTAAAATATATGTGATTACCCCTATGCTCCACACATCTGATTCGGGCCCTGATTTCCTTTTCAAAACTTCCGGAGCGACATAGTATGCACTTCCGACAATGTCATGAAATTTCTTCCCTGCATATTATACCGAAAATAAGAGGAAGAACGGACGATATCGTTTTGCTTTTTGTAATAATAACTTTGGAGTGTACAGATAGGATATGAACGTTCCATCAGATTTTCGTTCGTACCGGGTTTGATGAAGTCTGATAAGCCAAAATCGGTGGCTTTCAGGGGGGAGTCCTCTTTGGCTGATTTGAAAAGAAAGTTCTGCATATACGAATAGCACGGGCGAGAACCATGTTCAAGAAGGATACAAATAGCATGGCGACATATTATGAATGACGCTATCTTTTACCTCCGGTTTCATGTCTCTGTGTACCAAGCCATGTAAATGACACTCCGCTGCAACTTTCAGCATTTGCCTAACAACTACCGCTGCATCTTTCTCGGTATATCGGCTATCCTTCCTGTTACAAGCACTCTCTTTAGATATCAAAGCTAATTCAGAACTAACGTTTTATTTTTACTTTATGCTAGCAAAATCATCAGCTGGAATGCATGCGAAAAATCGATAAAGCTAGACATTGCTTACTTGGACAATATTCGATCCAACAATTCACCGCCTTCGCATAACCTGATAAGAATGTCGAAAAGGGCATTGATGAAGATGTAAATTATTAGGAGAACATTGTGGTTTTTAAGAAAGACCAAAAAGGAAAGGCTTACTCCATCACAATATAAACATATGAGTCATCCTCGAACGCATTATGGAACTGAACCACATTCTCATGGCCTGTAAGTTCTTGCAATATCTTGACCTCTCTCTTAACGTCCTCAACCGCGATGGGAAGAATCATCTGCAACAACATTAGAAAGTTTCGCTATCAAACTCCACCCGAAAACAGCAAACGAAGCACTTGGAAATAAAAGTTTATAATTCTCTAACCCAAAAGCCATTTGCAGATGAACTCCTATTCTTGATCATACAGTTCTAAAAGGTTGTAAACTAGCTACACAATTATGAGCACAAGCATTCTGAATCTTGCCTAATTAGCAGAAAACCATGACTCTTAGATCCAGAAAGAGGCTGGATTCAATTAGAACAGCTCGATCTCGTGTTCAAAGAAGATCTATCCAAGTAATTCAGATTACTCATAAGGATCCCAAAATCGGTTCCCTCATCATCCATCAGTCATGATCTTGTAGAGCTGTCAATTCTAGAACTACTTTCTTTATGGCCATGGCGATGAAAGGGTGAAGGCCCCATCAAAGGAAGATGAATCTGTATCGAACATATACGAAGCTGGCAAATTCAAAACCCCCATTAGAGGAAGTTCCTTCTTTCATGCTCCAATACTCTGAAAACTCGTTCAATTACCAAATTAAACCTAGCGAGCTCGCAAATTTCAACTCAAACCCCTGTTCCAAACGATTTTGTAGGGGAAATTTAACCCAGATTGCAGATATAAAAAAGAATCAAGCATTAATTAAAGCCGTAGATTCACAAAAACGAAGAAACATCGCAATCTCTAAGAAACAATACCTTGTTCTTCTCAATTTTCTTAACAGCAACACGATCCCCATTTTCTTTATCGATTGCTAC